TTTTTTTTTCTGGCTTGTATGGCTCACCCAGTTCCCCCTCTGTAGCTGCTCGCATGGGTGTAATGGGTGGATGATCTCCTGCATCAGTTCCATTCCTGGGTCGGTTTAAACCGGTTAACAGCAAAGCGTTTACCTGATGTGAAGGAAAAACAAAATAAGGACAAACAGATTTTCTAAATTCTTACCAAAAATAATTTAAAATTCATCTATGTGCCCGCATCCTTAAATGGATATAACTTAAATGATTTTTGTGTCCCTGACCTCACATAAGGGCTCACCTCTTCTGCCCAAATGGGGTTGCTGGTCTGTTGCTTCAGTGTTCCCTTCAGGTCAAAGTTCTCTGGGTAGTGGGTTGTCTCAGTACGTGGGTAACTAATGTAGCCCTGGGTATACAGGCGTTCTGCAATCTGCATGGTATGCTGGGGGCCCATGCCTGCAACATCAAACACTTTGATTTTTTTTTCATCCCAGGAAAACCTCTTCTCTTACAAAGCTAGTAGCTCAATGTCTACTGCTTGTTTTTGTTGTAATGTCTCAATATGTGTGACAATAGAACTCTCAAAGTTGGACCCACATTAGATCACATAGTTAAAACCAGATGTACACATTCACTGTAAAAAAACTTTCCTGCAAGACATTAAATTAGACTGAACATATGTCTTACATATATACGTTGTAACTTTCTTTGTCACAAATTTTCATTTATTTTCTTAGTATTTTGTAAAATTGCCTTTAAACTTGTATAACTTGGATCAAATGATTTTGTTTCCTTCCATAAGCTTCTCACAATATACTGTAGTTTGCTGGACAGAACTGGTGGAACTGAATCAGGTTTGTAGGCCCTTTTAGGTCTACCAGTCCCTCCTGKTGCACAACATTGAGTTCCTTTTAGAATACTGGCTTCTTCCTCTCTGAGTGGCCCTTCAGCCCATGATTGTACAGAACTCGTTTTACTGTGTATAATGACACTCTCTGACCAGCTTCAGTCAGCATCTTCAAAAGGTCTTTTACTTTTGTTTTGGGGTTGATGGGGCAATTTCACATCAAAATGCATTCATATAGAATGAGAGGGCTGTGGCTGAGKGGTTAGGGGAGTTGTCTTCCAAAGTGAGAGTTGGCGGTTCGATTCCACCACTACTTAGTCACATGTCCAAATGTCCCTGGGCAAGACACTAGGGTTGGACRATAAATCAATCTAATCGATTAATTCATATTTGCCATTTATAAAGATTTAACCAGTGCACTCTTTGGGGCTTCTGTAGTTCAGAGGTCACCCCACATGACCCTCAAGATGCTTGGTACATGACAAGACAATATGGCAGCTAGGAAAGAGGATCTGGTTAGGAACTGGTTAAGTTTTGCAACCTCAGACTTGGAGCAACGAACACCTCACTGCAAAATCTGTTTGAAGACTCTTGCTACAAAATCAGAAGTACAACAAATTTGTTTCAACACCTGAAACAGAAGTACTCTGTTAAGTGGGAAGCAAAATCGATTAAAATCGAAAACCGAATTAGGGACGAAAAAATCTGATTTTCTTTTGGGCCACATCGCCCAGCCCTAMAAGATACTGAACCCCCACTGCCTCCAATGTGTCTGTGTATGAATGTGAAGCACTGACTATTATCTATAGAATGATTTATCTCGATTAGCTTTATAAAAGAGACAAAGTAGAATGCTGTGTGGAAGAGTAAATGAGGACCAAGAATGTAGTGTAAAGCGCTTTTGAGTATCCTGGTTGGATAAAAAGGTGATAAGCACAATCCATTTACACAAAGAAAATTTTGACTGATTAACTGAATTTTAGATAATCTTTTATCTTATACTTTGGGATCAGTTTTAGCAATTTACTTTAAACAGTTCGAGAATCTACAAGTCTATTTAGTTTTAGTGTTGGTTTCTATAACTCACTTCCTTGTTTTAGAGGTATGACATATCTTGGGTGGGGCTAGGCTCGATATGGAAACTTTGCTGGAAGAAGGAAGTGGGGACATTTTGCCTACACGCAAACAAATGGACGCAAAGTGCTGTCAAAAACTTTGTGTAAAAAAATAAAATAAAATTCAAGTCTGAGTACAGGGCCAGTTTCCTGCACCTGATTTGAGYCCTATGAACATGTTCTTACATAGCATTTGCCATTTCTATTTGTTTTTATACGTTAGTATTATCCAAAATAATTAGGGATGCACCGATATGAAAATTTCAGCCGATCGATATTTACCGATATTACACAAACACGCAAATTATATTGTACATTTACGCAAAAACACACTTTGGTCTTTTTTTGATACTGTTAATAAATGACCAGACCTCTGACATGGTTCCCTACTTCAGTTATTCCTGGCTGCGCAGCGTCAATATAACYATCACGATCAAACAGATGCTGCTCAACCAACCGTCTCACCTCCCAAAACAGAAACACAAAGCTAAAAAGTGGGAAATCAATATCGGACATTAATATTAGCCCCATTTTACATATCAGACCGATACGATATTCTAAAAAATGACCAATATCGGCCAATACCGATATCAATACCGATATATCGTGCATCCCTAAAAATAATTATAAGATGTTTAATCATCTTCAACTATAAGATGTCAACAAAAAAGTCTCCATTTTAGGCAACAGTGTTTTACTAGGACATTGTTTCCACTCTAACAAAGTTCATCCTTTCTGGTRTGAGTATGTACAGAAAAAAACAGTTTATTCCAACAAGAGAGAAATAATCAGATGTTAACAAATCCAGCAACAGATTGATATTATGTCAAATTGACATGGCAATTACATATGTTGTTACATACAGTATGTGGTATGTTATACGTTGATAGAAAATTACCTAAAGCGGAGCTGGCCACCCTTAACATCTCCACAGTGTTCAACGCCTGTGGCCTCTGCTTGGCCTTCTCCTTTTTACTCACCAACTCCACCTACAGTAATGATACAAAATAAAAAAATTTAATCCATTAAATAAATTACTTTATTGAAAAATGCATATCRAATCAGAACATCCAGAAAAATAACTTTGTTTTTACCAGATCTTGAAATGTGCATATTATTTAAAACCTTAGGTAAAGACCAATAAACAACATATTCCACTGAAGGAAATTCTGTGACTGATTAACTTAAGAGCCAGGTCATGTTTTTTAATGAGAAGTGGTTCTCAGACAGTTTACCTGGATAAATAAAGGTTAAATAAATAAAAATAAAAGATATAGTCTTTACACTGTGCATATGCTATGAACAGATAGTCAGTATGTCATATCAATATAAGCAGGGTTGAACCTAAAATGTTTGGTCTGGTTCTCAGGGGAGAACCTAGGGTTGTTGCTTGGTGCTCACTCAGATTTTCCTTCATTCAACACATTTTTCTAGAGGGGTGTCAGGTCATCTAACGTCCGCCTGTTCTGTTTTATGACTCCTATCAGCTGCAATGTCTCAGGACATCATGCCAAATCAGTCCACCGAGTTATTATTTTATTCTTTTACTCTGCATAAATTTTGTAAACTACCTAAGTGGCCGAGGGGCTGGGTGTATGTCATACAAACTGAACATTTCATGGTTAAATGTCTTTTAGACTAACACATGTCCTTCAGATGGATAGCTCCTGTAGTTTGACCTTCTGCATCTTCAGCCTTGGTTAAACCAGCTTTCCACTCTCCAGACCAAGCAGCAAATATGTCTTTTGCAC